ACTTATCCTAGTTGTTCCCTCATTTTCACCCTTTTCACCACAAAATTTTATTATATCCTCCCACAGTACTACCTCACTCCACACCAACTACACAAAATTTTACTTCAAAATTCCTTTACTCTGCTCCCCTCCCATCTTCTCAAAATGTCTCAGCATCTGTTCCCTCTAACCTGACCAATCCTACCTCTTGTCTCTCTCTTCCCCAGACTAAATCCTACCACTTCCCTGATGCCTAGCCCTCCTCTTTGTCACTTCATCCGTCACACCAGGCTCTGCTCCCTCATCCACCATCTCTGTTCCTATTCCCTCTACATTCAAAGTATTTGCTGATATCCATCCTCCTCCTCAGGTTCCCCCAACATCTTTTCTTCTAACTCTCTCCCAACACACCACATCTCTTTCTCTATGTGCACCATTCCCTCTTCTTTCCCCATTATCCTTAATGCTCCCACCAGGATGCTTGTGTGGTTCCCCTATGTCGCAAGTGTCCTTCTCTGGATCCTTCCCCTCTTGACATTCTTCCCAATACTTCAACACCTCCCTTGTCCCCTTATCTCATTCTCTGGACTATTCTCCTCCTCCTCCCACCATACTATCCTATAATGATCTATAACCTTTGACACCTAACACATACCCTTTTTGCCACAATCCTTTACCATAGAATAATTTATATGACATTTGATGTCTAGTTCTGCCAGAAAACCAGCAAAAAAGTTTTGTTGAAGCTTGAGCAGTTCACCCAGTTGGCTTGGTGTAATAAAATTGTGCGGACCCAAGGGGAAATTGCTTTCAAATATTGTGATTTTTGATTATCACAAGGATTTACCATACAAGTGGGCATGACCAGTGGCAAGCACTTGTAAAGGTGACATAACAGGAGAGAAAATGACAAGGACAGCTACTTGCTTATTGGTTAGTTTGCCTGCCAGTGGTGTTATATCACGCCTGCCTGCTGACCATACCTGCTCTACACAATCATATATATACACCAGCAAGCATTGCCAATCATTGAGCTTAACCCATTCGCGCCGGGTGTCACATATATGTGACATGACCACTGTGAGTTTGCTTGTTTAACCCATTGCCGCCAGGGAAAATTAACAAAAAATGGGGAAAATGCTGTACAAGTACAAGTACAAGTGTAGCCATCTATGTGTAAAAACAATCAAGCAAGTCGACTCAGAGTGGGCATGGCATGTACATACATGCCATCCCCGGCGGCAATGGGTTAATTGTGTTTACACATCGATGGCTACACTTGTACTTGCACTGCCTGTCTCAGCTGTTTACCCTTTTCTTTAATTTACAAAAATATTTTACGTTATCTTATTTTGCTGTTACTAATGTTTATAACATTATAGTAATTATAATGTTTATAATAAAAATAACCATTGATATGCATAGTGCTAGTAAAAATACATTTTCCCGCCCATTCAAGGAAAGGTGAAATCAGGTAAGGCAGAGCTATCTAGTGTAGAGACATTTCACAAAAAAATATTAAAAATTAGCATAGCATTTTCCCCATTTTTTGTTCATTTTTACCCTTCGCAAATGGGTTAAGTATAATGGCAGTTGTATTGTTGCTTACACATTGGTTTTTGGGACAGTCATAACTGTGTGGGATCCAGTGCATGTTTTCTTTGAATTTCTACTCGTATATAGCCTATTAAATTGAATTACCAGTGATAATTGCAATATAATGATAAGTATTGAAGGTACTGTACAGC